TGCACTGATTTAACCACACAGCTCCCCGTGGAAGTGTCACCCACTATACTGAGAAGCCTGGATGTATGTAGGAGAACTATGCTTTCCATAGACCTGACAAACACAAATACTAACTTTGTGTGTGTGTGTGTGTGTGTGTGTGTGTGTGTGTGTGTGTGTGTGTGTGTGTGTGTGTGTGTGTGTGTGTGTGTGTGTGTGTGTGTGTGCCTGACTAGGAGTAGTCATGACACATGCTAATCAGGAAGCCGATTGCAAACAGTCCACTCCAGCAAAAGTGCACCAGCTACGTACCTCTGCACTCTATCAGGAGACAGTTAGTGGCTACATGTGCGTGCACATAAAAAACAACACAAATACATCGAGACGCACAAGCATGCACATACACATGTACACTACATAATAGGGGTCACTACTTTTACCACACAATGACTTTGGAGCTTGATACGAAGCAGGCATGCTGACAGATGTAGTTGTAACGATTTGAAGTGCTGCAAGGATGAGTAAAAGAGAGTGACGTGACATCATTTAAGAAAGTAGAATTCATGCTGAAAAAAAAATGCTGACAGCCTGAAACCGAGTAGCCTGACATTTGAACCCACACAGTAAGTTTGATGAGCTCTATTTTCACAGCCTTTACTGACGTAATCTTGTTTATTTTGTTGCCTTTGAAAGTGCTGGCATTTTGTGTCTCTTTTTGCTTAATGACAGGTTGACCGAACCATCGTGCCACAGACTGAGATAACAGGCACTGATGTACTTTAACAGAAAGTGCCCAGAGGACTCGGAGTGCTTGGAATGACAGCACCTCCAAAGCATCCCCTCCAGCACCTGTCGCCAGCCTCTAAACAGTCCATGCTGGCATTCCTCTGCTAGTAACCACTGCCAGTGAGACTGACTGCTATGCTTTGGAGTCCTTGCATGGTTTTGTATTCTGCTCAGGGTCAAATCAAAGGCAGACATTTGCAGATCTCATGAGGTTAATTATCAGACTTTAATACACTGAAAGGACTTGATATGAGCTTTTTTTTTTTTTTTTTTGGTGGGGGGGAGCTTTGTATTCAACACAATTCTCCATTTACAGTTTGCTCAGCGTCTGTGGAGGTCAATGGGCAGCGGACTGATCCGGATGCTCGGCTTCTGCATGATGATTGGATCATCTGTCTCGGGCGGAATCCCTCTTTGACAATGAAATAATCAAACCAGCGACCTTTTTCATTCTGTTGTTCTCAACTAATCCGGAGAATTTACTGATCCGCAGCGACTTTGAATCTGCAAGAACCAAACCGCGTTCTATCACAGTTTTAATTTCTGACCATAACTTCATCTACCGCAGTTTTACCTTGCTATTTTGCAGGGGTTTTTTCTTTTATATTTCTCTTGCTTCCAAGTTGGACAAGTAATTATTTTTTTACATTTTTTAGGAAAGTTTGTGCAGGGCATACTCCGCTCACATTCATTCATGAATGCAGCCTGCAGCGCAGTGTTGATTCTTCATTTGACATTGTAAAAGCTAACATTGTGGAGTCTAACAAGTGTTTAGAAGGGTGCTAACATTGTGGAGTCTAACAAGTGTTTAGAAGGGTGGGAACAATGTTGGGGGGGCGGTCGTAATGGCTTAGTAGAGGTGGAATTTTTGCCCAAAATGAACATTAAAAAAAAAGTCAATCTCTACTTTGCAGAAAGTTCACTTTGCAGTGCACTCACAGACAAACAACCATTCACACTCAGAATCACATCTCGGTACAATTTGGAGTGCCCAATCAACCTGCCATGCGTGTTTTTGGAATGTGGGTGGAAAACGGAGCACCCGTAGAAAACCCAAGCAGCCACGGGGAAAACATGCAAACTCCACACAGCAAGGCCGGCATCAAAACCTGCACCGATGCACTGTGAGGTGCTAACCAATCATTCACCATGCCGCCCTCTCTCTCTCTCTCTCTCTCTCTCTCTCTATAAAAAAAAAATCCTCGTCTCACCCCTCGGGTGGTTTCCATCCCTCATTCAGCTCGGGTCCTCTACCAGAGGCCAGCAAGCTTGAGGGTTCTGCGCAGTACCCTTGCTGTTCCCAGCACTGCACATTTCTGGACTGAGATGTCCGATGTTGTTCCCGGGATCTGTTGCAACCACTCATCTAGTTTGGGGGTCACTGCCCCGAGTGCTCCGACCACCACAGGCACGACTGTCACCTTTACCTTCCAGGC